TTGTCGGAAATTTTTTACGGAACTGTCACGAATTTGTCTGCGGTGTTCCGTAATTTTTATCTGAATTATCGATAAAAAATTACGATACCGTCACTTTAATTTTTCAAATCGACTCCGTAATCGGTAAGTGAACTAAAAGTTCCGTAATTTTTACTAAATATTTCTCTCCGTGTGGACCAAAGGAGAAACTCAAAAGGAATTTTTAACAACTTCTAGTTATGCCAAAGAAATTGCACTAAAAATGAAAAAAAAAATGTGAGTATTTGCAGCAAAAGGGCGTAACGACTCTGAAAATGAGAAGAGAATAAAGGCTGTAGTTTGGAATGTTGACGATGGCTAGACCAACGCATAAAATTCGGGATTGTTTCCGAAAAATAGCTGATATTTGACGGTTTAATACAGCCTGCATGCAAATGAGATGTAACCAAAGGTTTCGCTCGAATTTTTGAGCGTGTGAACCGTTGGGAGAACAAGATAATGGTCACAAACGCCCGTCATTCCCAAAAAATTACCCTCTCAACTTTTGCCCTCAGGACTTATACTTATTATTGCATTACTCGAATCATAACAAAAGCATAAATACATTGTTTCAGCATTGAGAAAGCTCGTAAAACTGAAAAGTTTGCCCTCATCGTCTCACTCTTGTTACTCGCCCCATCTTTCAATATCACGTGAGCCAAAGTAGCAAGATCTAGAGAATTGAGTAGATCAGGATCGAACCAACTCTACCGAGATGCTCATAAGTGATAAACCCAGAGAAAAGAAAAATTATCTGAATTTTCTCAGTGTGGCGAGAACTTTGGGTAAAACTTGAGTCTCAACAGCTCTGGTACTGTCACACCCTTCCAACCTAGTATATCCCCAGGTTATTAATGGTTTTCACCAACTGAGTTCATTAAAAGATCTCAACTCCACGTGGAGAGACATCCCCAAGAATATTTTATTACATCACTAAATTAAAAATACACATTTGGTCGCACGCAATTATCAAATTACTGCACTAGTTCAGGATTAGTTCAGGATTAGGGGTTAAATCACCGGATTGAATGATCATTTTTAGTTGAGACAAAAAATGATTGACGATGATCGAAGAGAAGCAGTATTAATAAATCAAATGTTAAATCAATTATTTATTTAAAAATATCAATTAAAACAAACGGATACTCGAATGCTATCAAAACGCGCGCTCATTTCTAGTGGATAATTTAAAAAATGTTTTACTTGAATATTCCAGCGTGATTTCCCAATAGTCTAAAAAGCCAAAATAAAAGTTAAATAATACGATTCTATTTCAATGATATTCAAGCGGAATAAAATGGAAATTTTTATGAAAAGTGTTTGCCGGGTAAAGGTTTTGGTAATTATGAATTTTAGTTAATTTTCGACCGATATTACCTATTTTTGCCGATATGAAAAGAATCGAAAGTGCAAATTTCACAAATGTCCTCACAACTTGTTCTACCCAGATCCAACCCCTTTATTCAATCCTCCGAGGCACCCCCAACGTTCTAAGCACCCCATTCTTCCGAAAATCGTAGCATATTTGTCAGATTTTTGTTCTTCAGCAAAACATGAAAGGAAAATAGATGAAGAGACGTTTGAGGATGGTTTTCTTCCTAAGTGGATTGGCTTCTTCCTCTACTTTTTATGTCCCTCTTTCTCGAGAGAAGTGCCAGAATGACATACCCCAAAGTATCATCCCTTATTGGCCCATTCTTTATTACCATTTCTAACCCCTTTCGCTCGATTTTACTTTATGAGGGACAAATATCTATCCACGAGGGAAAGATTGTTATTCACAAGTGGAGAAATCACTTACCCTTGAAGCCCTTCTCTGGTGATGGTGCTTCACGACTCGCCGAGTCTGACTCAAAATCCACATCATTGTCTGGTACAGAATCAACCTGAAACAATTCCAATAAAGAATATTTATCAAAAACAAA